AATTTTGGTATAATATAATACATCAACCTGCAGCTACATAGGGTCAGGCTATTCAATTATTTTAGTAGGCAAGATAGATAAACACATCAGGTTCTTCCATCTGCATACAACATCTTTAGAAACAAGGAAAAGAAGAGAGGGCAAACAAATTAGTTTTTCAATTGTAATGGTTTCAGAACCAGTCAGGGCTAAATTCAAAATATGTTAACAATCCTTGTCATGTTTTGAAATTAAAAGATATTTTTAATAAGATGATTTAATTTGGATGTTTCAAATTATAGTAATTTATAATTGTTATAAATTTCCTGTTTTGAGAAACAAGGCATGGTATGCAAAGAGAGAAGGTTATATATCTCCTGGCTTAACTTGCTAAGATTTGCTTATCAAAAGCAAGGCAATGAAACTTACCTCCCAGGAGAAAATAAAGCTGATGCAAATGACAATTACATTAAACCAACACTGTTCCCTTTTCAGTGGCCTAAATTATTTTACTTACTGTAATTTCCCATTGTTTTTTCTTTTACAGTCTTCTTTGAAGATTTTTTACATAAGATCTCTTCAGAAATTCCATCATAACTGTTCTGATTTGGGGACGCTACTACAAGGTCTTGCGGAAATTCAGTTGCTTTTTTCCCTTTTATATCCTTTGCTGGCTTAAATGATTTGCATTTTTCATCATCACTTTTTAAAATATCTGACTGTGAGCCAGAGGAAACCTTATCTGCCTGCTTGCTTGTTTGCCTACCAACTGAAGACTTTGTGGAGTTTTTTTCCCCTTTAGATTTGACCTTTTTCAGATTTGCTTTCTTTTCAGTCTGCTTACTATCAGTCTCTGAAATATCAGAATCTGAATCAGAAAGCTCATAAAAACGTTTCAGGTCTTCTGTAGAGGTACGATTAATTGGCCGACCTCGTTTATCCACAGTATATTTCAACTTGAATTTTTTGTCATGAAACATAGCCCGAAATCTTGAATCAATTTTGATCTTGCGGTCCTTTTCTGGCATTTCCCAAAACCGAGGGTCTTTTGTGATGGAAGAAAACCGCTTGTCACTCGTGAGTTCCTTCTTAGATGCCATTCTTGCTTTTTTAAAAAATGCAACAAACCTGAACTACTGAAAATAAAGAAAAAATAAGTATTATTATATCATAAGAAACACTATATCCTAAAATTAAAACAGTTCAAATTATCATTCAATATAAATTTACTCCACATATTCTCCCATTGATCAGGCATTATATTATATCCAAAAATTTTAGCCCATTTAATCATATGTCGTTCATGTTCATTCATGTTCCATATTCATTTTCAATAAAAGTTTGTACATTTTAAGTGATAACATGCTCACCATTAGTGTACAAATCCTATTAATCTTTTCATAAGACGAAGTATCACTGACATCTGATAAATTTTCAAAGATGTATGAGGGAGTGTCAAATATATGATAAAAATGCAATCAATACGAAGGCAATATTTATCATCTTTGGTGAACAAGTAACAAAGCTAGGAAATATTGGGATCAGTTACGTACTTTAATTCAGAGAATTCTTAAAATAAATGTACAAATAAAACCAGAGATTTTCCTTTAAGGCTTGGTGGATAAATAGACTGAAAGAAAGTATGGGATTTTGTTTCTATATATGACAATAGCAGCGAAACTTTTATTGTGGAAAGATTCCTACAATGGAAAAATGGATGAGGTTAATGAAATTGGCTGAGATGGAAAAATTAACTACTTTGGTTTAAGAAAATACTGTCTGGCTTTTTGTTTGGAAACCACTTTTGGATGTTTTGCTTGAAACTGAAATAATGGAACTTCTGGAATTTGAAGATTAGAATTGTTTATGATTATAAAAATATTGTGCATTATTAATTTCAGAGTAAGAGGTTAATCTATTTTATATTTTTATCTGTACTGAAAAAAGGTGGAAGCTACGGTACTCTTTTTCTATTTCTTCCTTTTTTCTTTTCTGCACTTCTAATATTGTTTTTTTCATCTTTTCTTTGTCTGGCTCCTTTTTTCTGCTTCCTTATATTTTATCTTTTGTTGAAACTTAATAAAGTTATAAAAAATTAAAAAGCCGCATTCCATAAGACTAAAAACATTATTTTTGATAAGATTTTCAGAGAAGCATATCATAAATAGGAAAACATATTCAATCCTCCTCCTTCCACTCTAATGTTCAAACTTCTGTAAAATTGTATTAGTTTAATTTAGACATCATCACAAAGTATATGAATATAGGCTGATCCGCTTCTCCCAGGAAATGGGGCAGATGGAATAGGAGCCACATTTTCACAAAAGTCTCCTAAAAAGTAAAAGTAGAAAACTGAAATATCTCTGATGGCTGCTATACTAATGTGAAATGTTTCTTTCAGGGAGATTCACTAATTTTCTTGTTTTAAGCCATACAGCAAATTAAGATAAAAGAACTGAGTGGTTTCAGCTTACCCTTTTGCTGGTCTAGTCATGCCATCTCAAAGATGGGATATTATTGCCTGGGAAAAACCTTTTGAAATTAATAATTCATGCAACTATTCTATTGTCTGCTGACTCAGCAGTATCCTTTTACAGCTTGGATAACTGTCAGAATGCTACCATCCCAAGTCTGGGGAACCATGGTACTACCCACCAGCAGAATACAGTAGTCTTAAGATATTTTTCCTGAGATTTGTAGCTACTACAGCCACTGAGTGTGTGCTCTAAATAGTTCAAATCATAGTGTGATATTATGTTGCAAATATGCAATAGATATAAAACATATTCAGTTAATAAATGCAGCCAAACAAAATTTTACATAAACATACTCTCAGACCTAATATCTGTGATTTTAAATTAGGAATGCAATAAATTCAGCATTCTAGGCCCTATGAGGAACCCAACATTTTTAGGCCAATTAAGGATAACATTAGGTAGCATGTTACATCCACCTATGTTGAGGCACATAAATTTAAATAACACTGAAAAAGATTTCAAGTCGCTTCATCCTTTGGTTCCATTTATATGCATATTAAACCTAACAGACTTGAATAAATACGTGCTATGCATCTATCACTGTATATGTTACACTTACTTTGTTTATTAGAAGATCAAAGCAGTATAGTCAAGATCTTTTCTCATATTACCTTCCACTGATATATTGTGGGGTGGATAGGACTTAAACACTGGCCAAAACCAAGCAATAAATCTGTAGTACTGAGATTTGAAGACAGAGCCTTCATGATCCTAACCCAGGGGTAGGCAACCTTGGCTCTTTTATGACTCGTGGACTTCAACTCCCAGAATTCCTGAGCCAGCATGCTGGCTCAGGAATTCTGGGAGTTGAAGTCCACGAGTCATAAAAGAGCCAAGGTTGCCTACCACTGTCCTAACCAATACACCATGCATGGAAATAACAGGTACTAGTAATGTATTTTAATTGAGAATCTAGCAACGCAGCAGCTATTCCTCGTTAGTTAACATCAAACAACTACATTCTATCTTGTTTATCGTGTTGCGGGAATCAGAGTTGAACCCACTGTTCACTTAACAAAGATTTAGCATAAATAACGTGCAACGCGAAGGGAAATGAAAGTCAAGGTCCGATTAGCTATACCTGAGCCACAAGGCAATACAAAAGAAAACACCCTCACGTGAATCTCACAACCCCGTAATGCTCCCCAGTAAAAATCACACTTACTTAATTACGTGTCAACTGCGCTAGTTTACCAATATTGCCACTCGCCTATACAGACCTCGCGTTGATCACACGGATCAAAAAGACTTCCGTGCGCAGAAAATTTACGTCATTTCCTACGGCGACTGGAAAGAGACAAATTTATCTTAACTTCGTAAAGGTACCGGAGGTTGGGGGAGAGGAAGCATGGTCTCGCTGGCAGCTGTCGGACCAAACGCGTGTTGATTATTTCAAAGAACTACTACGTTAAAGGGAATTTGAGTCTCTACTATTGTGGGTCGTTTTAAAAATCTGGATTTTAATGAACTCCCGCAACAACTCTATCGTTTTTGTTTTTATAACACACATCCAAGAAGCACTAGTTGAACGTAGGCTGTAATTTGTCCTTCAGCATAGACCAGCACTGTCATCTATGTTGGAGCAAAGACTTAGAAATGCAGTTGTAGTTCGGTTCCTGTCTCTGTATAACAACGGGACAGAGAAATATGACTTACAATAACAATGTAGTGCATTTCACCATAAATATTGGAGCTCAGAGATGCAGTGCTGCAATATTCTAACTATACAATGAGGCTGAAAGAGAAGGCAATCACAAGTTAGATTTCTTAGACAAGATTTGCACGCCTCTATAAACTCTGATTATAGATTGGGTAATTTGAAGCTCAATATGTCATGTAAACAGAGCCAGTGAGAACTCTTTTATGTTTCAGGATGTTGCTGAATCCTAGCAATTGGCTTAGTTCAATAGCTATAATGCATTAAATGTGTAAATAATATAAACACAACTTCTAAGTCAGTATTTGGATTATTTCCCTAGGGTGCAAGTCAGCAGAAATTGCAAACTATTCTTCCTAGAAGCCAGAGGGAAAGTGAGTTGATGGTTCTCAGTGTCGTACAAAAGCAGGCTAGAATTGGTTTCATACTTCATGCTAAATCCTTATTGTTTATGGTTTACTGAATAAACCAATTGGTTGGTTTCGCACATAATGTAAATCCTGTTTGTAACTGATACAGGCACTACTGCTTTTTCCCCCCGAATTTTAACCCACTTGCACAGTCAAGAAAGCTTGTACGCTACATAGCAATCTTGCGACAACTTAAGAAACTTCGCCGTCAGAGTTATTTTAAAAAATACACGAGAGTTTCCGCTACGCAGTGTGAATGAGCAACCCCCTCCTCCCATTCATTTCAAATAGGTTTGCCGCCTCCCTCTCTAGCTCCAAGCTAGCGGGTAGAAGTGACCTGAACTCGACGCAGGCGGATATTGCGAACCCGACACGCGTTTGTTGCTCTCTCCCTCTCTCTCTTTTCTATCTCTAGTAGGCTTTGTAAAGCTGGCGCCGGCGGAGCAATGGAAGCGAAGGCGTTTCTGCGGGCATCGTGTCTTTGCCGTCTGCAGTCAGCCGCGGTGAGAGGCACACCTACTACTAGCAGTCTCTGGTTCCGCCGCCGCTTCGCCCCTTCGGCGCCCGGGGCTGTGGGGTGTCGTCCCGCTACGGGGCCTGGAGCCCTCAGCCCTTTCGACCGGCAGATGAAGAGGAAGCAAAAGAATTGGGCAGCCGGGCAGCTTCACGCGGAGCGCTGCGAATACCTACGGGAAGAGGTAGAGGCGAAGGGGCGAGAGGAGAGGGCGCTCCCTATTCTTGCTGTGCCTTGGAAAGTATTGAAAATACTCTAGCACTGATGATGTTACCTAGTTAGGGCAATGAAACGTCTGCAAGAAAACAAGCAAGCTCAGAGAGCACCAAGGATCCTCTCACTTTACGGTTCTGTTGTCAGAGGAAAGCCCCAAGCAATCTAGCCTCCAAGTATTGCTGGGGAATACATGTGGAGCCTGAGCAAACCTTTTAGCCTATTTTGGTTTCATATTGTTATTTAGCCATTGGGGGGGGGGGGGGGGCTGTATGTACTTTTCTTAACTATTCCAGCATTGTCGATTTAGTTTGGGATATTTTGAATATTTGAATACCAATTCTCTTGTGTTGGTTAATGACCCCAATGACATTAAGTAAATTGCTGGGGTTAGATTCAAGGTCGTTTTGATTTTGTTTTCACTTTGACCTTACTTTGGTAGTTGAGATGTAAAA